GGAGTCCAGCCTGTCTTGGGGGTGTTGCAGGACTGCTGCCTTAGGTAAGTGCCTCCCAGCCAGAGCCTGCCTGTGGTACCCCTGCCCCTCCTGTACCCCAACTCCCTCCCCCAGGTCACCATCCAAACCCTCTGCACGCCCCTGCCCCAGGTCACAACTCCTTCCCAGACCCTGTACACCCTTCCACACCCCTCCCCCAGGGCAGAATCCTCTCCTGCACCCAAACACCCTCCCAGACCCTGCACCCCATTCCCCTGCCCCAAGTCACCGGCCATACCCTCTGCAGTCTGCATCCCCCTTTCCCAGGTCACAGCTCCCTCCCAGACTTTGCACCTCCTGCTAAAGCCCCTTCCTCAAGCCAGAATCCTCTCCTGCACCCATACTCCTTCCCTGACTCTATGCTCACAACCCTTCCTTTGCTCAAACTTCCTATCAGACCTCCCACTGTCTCCTGCACCCCAGTCCCTTACTCCATGCCCCCTTCTGCACCCAACCTCTAACCTAGACCCAGCATCTCCTCCACAGCAAAGTATGATCCTTGACCACTTACCAAAATCTTGGATTGGCCCCCCGCCAAAAAATATAGCCCACCCCTGGTGTACGGTGTCTTCCACCCTGCCCTGCTCACTGATTACGGTGAAGCTGTAAGAGGGTGATCACATGGGGCTCATGTATCAAGCTCTAACATTGTCCTGTCCATGTAATATTGTTCCTGTTTTGGTGCTAGTGAAGGATCTGAGATTTTATTCACAAGATCATTGGAATCAGAAATATGGGAGATGGGGAAATTTCAAGGTGTTGCATTTGGCAGAAATTAATTTTGAGGTGCTTACCCCAAATGCACATCACCACCACAGCTCCCACCAGGACTAGGATCACAGCTGCTCCCAGCTGCAGAATGAGCCGATACCAGCGGGGAAACGGAGGATGATCTGCGAGAGGCAGAGTTTGGTGAAATGTCTTCAGCATATAGTGCAAGAAATAACATATTTGCCTGTGGAGCACCCACCAATGGGCATTTATGTTCCCCTTGACATAATCCAGGAATAGCTTAAAATCTCTTAGTTAAGAGCTACATCACACTGAGGACACCCTCATGATGAAACAGAACAAAATACTGCAAAAGAGGAGAAAACACTAACAAATTCCTACGTCAATTGTTGAACAATACAGTTCTAGTCCACTTTGGCTTTATCTACACAGCAATGTTATTTTGGAATAATTGACATTATTCCAAAACAACATTGTCCATGTCTACACACAAGCAGTTATTTCAACATAATGTCAACATAATGTGGAGCTGGAGAACTGCTTACTCCAACTCCTATAACCCTCATTTTAAGAGGAATAAGGGAAGTCGGGGGGAAAGCGCTACATCTCAAAATAATCGCTGTCTAGACAGTACCAAAAGTTGAAATAAGCTATTTTGACTTAAGCTACACAATTAGCACAGCTCAAGTTCCGTAGCTTATTTCGAATTTAGCCCTGCTGCGTAGATGTGCCCTTTGAGTGATGTGTATTTCAGGACCATCCATTGCAAGTCTTTGCTTCAACCCCTTCTGGCCTTGTGTTGATTTTTGGTTCTTAACCTTTCTGAGGTCAGGACACAATTGTAAACCCCGGTAGCCTGTCACAACCCAGTAAGCAGCATTCAGAAAACCATTCCAGTGCTTCACCACACTACTGGTAAAACAGTTTTGCTTAATACCCAAGCTACCCTCTTCCACTGCAACTTGAGACCATTTCTCCTCAGACTGTCATCTGTCACTTCTGAGAACAGCCTCTCTCCACCCCTTTTGGAACCTCCCTTCAGGATGTTGAAGGCTGCTATCAAATCCCCCCTCGCTCTTCTCTTCTGCAGACTAAATAAGCCCAGTTCCCTGAGCCTCTTCTCATAACTCATGTGCCCCAGCCTCCTAATCATTTTTGTTGCCCTCCACTAGATTCTCTCCAATTTATCCACTGCCTTTCTGTTGTGGGGGATGGCAAAACTTGATGCACTACTCCAGAAGTGGTCTCACCAGTGCCAAACAGAGCAGAATAATCACTTTGCTAGATCTGCTGCCTAATGCAGTCCACTAGGCTGTGAACTCGCTGTTGACTCATATCCAGTTTCTCATTTACTTGAATCTCCAGGTCATTCTCTGCAGAAATACTACTTAGCCAGTCAGTCCTCAGCCTGTACATAAGAACATAAGAACGGCTGTACTGGGTCAGACAAAAGGTCCTTCTAGCCCAGTATCCTGTCTGCTGACAGTGGCCAGCACCAGGTGCCCCAGAGAGGGTGGACCGAAGACACAATCAAGTGATTTGACTTCTGCCATCCCTCTCCAGCCTCTGACAAACAGAGGCCAAGGACACCATTTTATCCCCTGGCTAATAGCCTTTTATGGACCTAAAACAGTGCTTGGGATTCTTCATCTGCATTTGTCTTTGTTGGGCCTCATTAGATTTCTTTCAGCCCAACCTCCAATTTGTTGAAATCATTCTGGTTACCATTCTGGTCAGTCAATTACCACCTTTGATCAAGAACAGCCAAGTGACAGGTAAATAAACACTTTCCATTAGGAAAATAGCTTGAAACTGGATCTTTAATTTCACCTGCAATGGGAAACTGTCCTGCAAGGCTCAACAGCTGCTAACACTTTGAAAAACAGCAACCATATCAAGGAAGTCAGGACCACAGTAGCTATAGCAGCTGATCATGTTTTTTCATAGTAGTGTAGCCCAGTTAAAAATAACTAAAGTGGAGGGAGGGGTTCTTAAACTTCATTTTTCCTCTTCTGAGGCACCAGCAATTGAGAACGGCAGCTTACCATTGCTCCTCTCATGGACCTGTGATAGTGGCAAGAGGAGTCTTTCATCCCTGAAGTGAAGGATGGCACCAGAGTGCGCCATGCCAATGAGGAGACCCGTGTTTCTGGGACTTCTGTTTCTGGGCCAGACTGAGGGCACAAAGCCACCTCCATCCAATGTACCTTCAGCCTTTGTTCCTTGCCCTTTATGGTCCTACGGCAGAACTCACAGCAGATGCTGCAATAGTCTCTTTGGTGACCCTCACCCAAGCACTGTAGACAGGAGGAGTGAGGGCAGCTTTGTAGCATGCACTTCACACAAACCTCACAACTTTTAAATCCCCAGGAATGTAGCCACAACTCTGTGGGGTCTATGAAGGGAGGGGCACTAACAATAACTATAAACACTTAATCTAACTTAGAATGATAAGAAGTGAACTATGTACAGAAGAACAGGAAAACTGTGTAAAAATCTCAGAGGGGTCTCCGGGTAAGTCTGCAACTTTAAAAACTGAATGGTCCTGTAGCACCTTTGGGTATGTCTACACTACCCTCCTAATTCGAAATAGGAGGGTAATGTAGGCATACCGCAATTGCAAATGAAGCCCAGGATTTGAATTTCCCGGGCT